CGCCCTTACAAACTCACTCTGAAGCTTTGCAGCTAGACTGATATAAAGTTTATTTACACATGTGTACAACCTGAGCCTAGATGGAGGCAGTTTAGAGCATTTAGACCTCAAGAGGGTCCTATACCTTCCATTGAGGTAGCCTCAAATTCAAAGAGGCTCCAAACATCGTGTTTGAACCTCTCTGCACTATAAAGCAGACAGATTGTAGAATTATAAGTTTATCTATTTTTCATTTCTGAGTCAATCACATTTATCAGCTTTTTTCTTTGGTAGCATTGCTCGGCAGCAGCCTCATCAGAGGAGATGAAACTCTTTTTGTGGTTGCTTTAATTAGGTTTCGATAGTACATTTTGAATTTATTTGATTATTATGTGAGAAGGCACAGAAGAAACCTGGCAAGACAAAAGGACATTTGTGTTTGGGTGGGTGCATACATTATTTACAATGTGGAATGGCTGAGCAATTGCCTTGAATACTGATAACTCACCACTTTAAAGTGGCTCTATCTTTTTCCCCCTCCTTTAGCTTAGCCTGAGACAAGATAAAGGATTACAAATAATTTTATATGTATGACTTAGTGCAAATTACAGGAAAGCAAATGTAAATGATGATATATCAGGATTAACCCTTCATGCATCAAATTGCTCTGCAAACCAGGTGGCTATTGGCAGAGCAGCTCATCCCCCCCCCCCATACAGCTTCAAAGTCACAATGCTTGTTGGGAGAATAACAGACTTGCTCTTTTGGAAATCATTGCTACTTGTAGAATCTTATTTCTCTCGCAATGCCGCGGCCATCAGGTGAATCAAACTTCTCTCTCACAGACATGATGACCTCTGAACCACTTTATATAAGGAACATATAGATAAGGACACAACTCCAAGGATAAGTAAAAGTAAAGGGACCCCTGACTGTTAGGTCCAGTCGTGGCCGACTCTGGGGTTTGGGCACTCATCTCGCTTTATTGGCCGAGGGAGCCGGCGTACAGCTTCCGGGTCATGTGGCCCGCATGACTAAGCTGCTTCTGGCGAAACCAGAGCAGTGCACGGAAACGCCGTTTACCTTCCCCACGTATTTATCTACTTGCACTTTGACGTGCTTTGAAACTGCTAGGTTGGCAGGAGCAGGGACCGAGCAATGGGAGCTCACCCCGTCGCGGGGATTCGAACCACCGATACTTGGAGTCAAAAGCATTTTTGTAAGCATGTCATTATGTGGTTCTGCTAGGTGATGGCTGCTGTGTGTGTGGTTTAAGGCTGCTTTTAGCTCATGCTGAGAGGGAGGTGGGTCTACCACCTATGGACATTGGTGAAAGGAGTCATATGGTAAGCAGGACGTGTGGTGGTGCAAAAGGGCCCCAAAGACTATAAGGACCTCACAAAACCCAGGAATATTCTTAAGGAATCATAAATGATTATTTTTTACATACATGATTGTTATATGCTCATCTTGGTTATATTCTCCAACAAAAACATGACAGGTCTAAATATTCCAATCAGGGAAACCCATAATGGGAATGTCCTTTACTTGTTAATATTTTTATTAAAAGTTTTCCATAATACAGTAAGATATAGGAAATGTAATGCAAATGAATGGAAATATAAATTGAATACAGTGTGAGCCAACAGCAAGACAGACAGTTTACCATTTCCTCCTCTGGAAGTTCCATAATGGGAATTTCCCAGAGGCTAAGACATGCACTGACCTAGTGATGTCACTGCGCATGTGTTATGTCATATCGACTTTCTGCTGCCTCTGCCATGGAGATCCCCAGTAGTCTCTCTTTCTCCATCTACTGTTTAAGATCAGAGTGGCGACCTAAAGGCTCTTCTACAGCTGGTCTGCTGCATTTTTTCTTTATCACTTTTTTTTGAATGAGCACCAAAGCTTTCCAAAGTGTGGAACTGTGTAGATGTTTCTGGAAATGCTGCGTTGCTGTATACATCTATACATGCTGCAGTCCATGGAGCAGAGTGAGTGGAGGTAAGATTTGCTTTGCTCTGTGTGTGCGGTCTCTTGCATGTGTTTTGGACATACGTCTTGATATAAGGTATAAGCAGTAAGTTGAAATATGATGTAATGATAAATTTAAGCAGTAAAAATAAAATACTAGCAATAATGTAATATGCTAGCAATGATGTAAAATGCAAGCTGCACACTTACATTTACCTTATCTCATATTACATTATTGATAGTATTTTATATTTTTTCTTGCTGCATTATGTGAAGTAAGTAACTTTCATTCTAGTGGTGTTACGAAGTATAAAAATAACTCATAGACTGAGAGGCATATGACTAAATTCCCAAAAGTCACCGGGGGTTTTCTTTACAACCAAAGGGAAAACGTGACTGTGAGAAATTTGCCATTAATGATGGGTGCAAAAAATGGCAAGGGGAAAGTGGACCACAAATCTTGTACCCATGATATCCACAGTGCTGCTTGTGAAGAATCAAAATGGCAAAATGTAGCTGCAACGGACACTGACTAAGCAAATTTTCATTTTTAAGAGACTGGCAATATACCAACGACTGTTGTGGAAATGGCCCATTTTAGGCAACAAACAACGAGCTAGAAGCTTTCTGAAAGCTACTATGAAATGACAACAAAATGTGCAGCCAAAATTGTCATTTGCTGTGCTACACTCCCTCTTTCCACAAAATTTACTGTAAACCTTGAGTTTTGGGAAAGGATGTGGATCTTTAATTACCGGAAAAAAGCACTCAAGAATCAAAGGCAAACATTAAAACACGTAAAGTTTAAGAAATATGGTCTGGACACGGAACTGTTGATATTATGTTGGATGCTTCAGCATGAAAAGAAGAAAACTATTGGAGACAGGTCCTTAAACGTATTGCCAGTGTGACCCTGACCTTTGCCACGCAGAACAGAGCATTTAGAGGCCATGCAGAAACTGCTTCAGCTGAGGGAGGGAACATGGACATTTTTTAATCAGTCACTCAATTGCTCTCAAAACATGATCCTCTGACTGAGGATGTTTATTGTAAACCAGGAGGAACGGTCAAGTACTTGCATCATGGTGCTGAGCCAAAGGTGGACTGTTCCGGAAGGTTTGCTAACGCCATCTTGGTAGTCAAGATAACCTCACAATTAATTATAGAATCATAGAAGGGATCCCAAGGGTCATCTAGTCCAACCCTGTGCAATGCAGGCATTTCAGTTTAAGGATCCATGACAGATGGCCATCCAACCTCTGCTTAAAAAGCTCCAAGGAAGGAGAGTCCACAACCTTCCAACTACAGGACCCTTAGGATCCCTTCCAATTCTAGGATTGCTCCAATCAAGACTGGAGATAGAGTATAGTTTTAAAGAGATATAAAGGTGGTATCACAAGCAAGTATTTTGTCACACTTGTTTATTTTATTCTGCTGGCACCGCTGATCAAAAAAGGGTCTTGCATCAGTGTAGAAAACGGTGAAACCTTTTTACCCGGTGTGACAGTGAGAGGAACTGGCACACCACAATCAACACTGCTTCTTTCACAGCACCTTTAATTCTCTAAAAAAGAAAGTATTATACCTTGCCAGCCTCATCTGTACAAAACTGAGATAAGTATGACACATAAAACTTGTGTTTCTTTTATTTGTGGCACTAAATTCAATTAGTATTTTACGTCATATAATATGTAGCCACAGGATTGCAGGTGGCTAACAGTACACTTTGAAAGGTTAGCAACATTACACAGTGCCGTTAAAAATCATTTTGGACTACGTCCAGTGCTGTAATTATTATTAAACCAAAAACATGTATTAAGGTGCATTTTAAAAACTTTTACAACATACAACAAATGTGTAAAACCCAGACAATAATTATTCTTTATGCTAATTTTCTTATAAGAAAATATTTTCAAAATATGTACATCATCTATGAAAGTAGCTTAATTTGTTTAAAAACATGCCATTTAAAAATGTTTGGGGACTTAACTGATGAGAAATCAGGCTTGATATATGAGGTGAACATAAGCCCATTGAAGGAGGCTGGAATCCTGTCCCACTAGCAGCAGTTCTGGAAACAAATTATAGCCAGTAGTTCCCAGGAAGCAGTATTAATAGCACTTTTAATTGCACATCTACTGGAATGTTATCTCTTCAAGTCCCACTAAAATAAATGGGAGCTGTGCAAGATAAGAATAAGAATCAAGTAATGATAATCTTGTACGGCTCCCTTAGGGTGAAGGGTGGGTCATAATAACGACCCACCCTTCACCCTAAGGTCCCAGGGTGGGTTACACAACAAAATACAATACTAATAACAGTTCAAAACAACTACAGAGACAAGGTGGGTCTTAAAAATATACACATCAAGTGTCAAACGCCAGGATAGAGCGCTGTTGCCTTCAACATTTTCCAGAAGCTGTGCGGGGAATGTGCCAGGCACAGCTCTCTGGGAAGTTCCCCTACAAAGGCAGCCCCACATGCCCTCTGCTGGGCTGCCACCTCTCCTTGGGGCTCAGCATATCTGCAGATGTTAGTACAGTGGTACTAACATCTTTGGGTTACAGACGCTTCAGGTTACAGATTCTGCTAACCCAAAAATAGTACCTCGAGTTAAGAACTTTGCTTCAGGGTGAGAACAGAAATCGCGCGGCGGCAGCGATTTAGCATTAGATAAGGGGTGCTTCAGGTTAAGAACAGTTTCAGGTTAAGAACAGACCTCCGGAACGAATTAAGTATGTAACCAGAGGTACCACTATTTTATGTACTTTAGGTAAAGGACCTTGACTGTTAGGTCCAGTCGCGAATGCCTCTGGGGTTGCGGCGCTCATCTCGCTTTCCTGGCTGAGGGAGCCGCCGTTTGTCCACAGACAGTTTTTCCGGATCATGTGGCCAGCATGAATTAGCCGCTTCTGGCGAACCAGAGCAGCGCACAGAAACGCCGTTTACCTTTCCCGCCAAAGCGGTACCTATTTATCTACTTGAACTTTGACGTGCTTTCGAAACCGCTAGGTTGGCAGGAGCAGGGACCGAGCAATGGGAGCTCACCCCGTCGCGGGGATTCGAACCGGCAACCTTCTGATTAGCAAGTCCTAGGGTAAGTGGTTTAGACCACAGCACCACCCGCGTCCCGTTATGTACTTTATATCCCCTTAAATAGCCTGTCATATGGATCCCTAGTGATCTCTGAATCTATAGTGATAACTAGCTTGGTCAAAATGTTGCAGCTAATCAATCTTGCTTGATTCTAACAAGCAGTGACTTCAGCATGTGGTAATTCAAACCACTGGGTTTCTGTTATAATCCTTCCATCCCATTTTAACAGATCTATAGTCTGTATACTCTGAGGTTTTAAATTGCTTTTGTTTTTAAAAAGAAATGAACTAAATGGTACAGAACAGCTACATATTTTTAACTGTGAACAAGCAAAAATATGTCGGTGCTGAGTACACACAGCAAAAAGTGTTCACCAGCTAATTAACCTGCCATTTAGAATAGTGTTATTGGCACGGTGTGACTATTTGGGGGCAAGGGACCCACAGATCCTTGGCACAGAAGCCGTGTAGCAACCTGTGAACCAAATAAAAAATAGAGAGAAACACAGAAAATGCAGCTTATTTTTGGCCTGTAAACTTCTTGGAATCCTTTTGCCATGGGTGTCCATTCAAACCAGTAAGAAATGCATGAGAAATTGCATACGAAACGGATGACTGGAGCATTTAGTATTCAGACAAGCAGAGGGACCTGAAATAAAATAAATATATATTGTAATTTATATTTTCAGTCTCAAAAATGACATTATTATATTAACCTATCTTTGTATGTCTATTTGTCAGACTCTGTGTTCCTTGGCCAGGGAGGGCGGGATACAAATTAATAATAATAATAATAAATCATCATCATCATCATCTATTATTATTACACCCTCATTATATTTATTAAAAATTGCATACATCCCAATTTGAAGCAAGTTTAAATGTGGCCTCAGTTGCACACACAAATTGTTATATGTCGCATTTGATCACATTTTCCCTTACTAAAATATTGAACAGAAGCGCAACAAATGTACTTAATTAGGAAATCTGATTTAAAATTATTTCTCTCTCTCTTCAATAACTCCATCTCCTTCCACACTCATTTCTATTGTTCAGTATGGACTCTTTTACCATCTGGCAACTATACACGAAATATTTTAAATATTGCAGTAAATAAATAAGGGTGTATTCATTCAAGTTCTACTCAGAATAGACCTATTGAAATTAATGAACCTAACTTAGCCATGTTCATTAACTTCAATGGGTCTACTCAGAAATAAACTTAGTTGAATACCAATCAAACTTTCCATGGGTAAGGAGCACCTTTATAGAAGAACAGAGCAGGAAGTGAATTTTTAGTTTAGTTTATTATGTTTATTTATCTCTGCATACACCCAGAAGTGTACTGAAGTGATGTATAATAATAAAAAATGAAATATATAAACAATTTCATTGATCAATGCAAATACTGTTTTCCCCCTCTTGTCCATTCCACACCTTTTATTGAATTCTGTGGTCTCCAATAAAGGACCACCATATTTGACCTTAATAGATGAGGGAAAACATACAAAGGGGCGCATGATGAACAAGAAACCAACCTCACCAACGACAGCATTATCTCCCCATAACCTTTGACGTCATGGTTTGTTCAGCGTTGTTGTTTACAGAAATACAATAGACTTTGAAAGCTACAGATTTCTTCTCCAATGACTAATGATCTTCTGTGGTTTGTACCGTCTCACGAAATGACTTGAAAGCTGTAACATTTCGTTTATAACTTTTGTGGGTTTGTTTTCCTTTAGAGGGCAAGCAGATAAGTTTATGTATTTGCATGCTTGTGGCAAGATCTGAGGTGGGAAAATTCCATCTGCATTTGCAAACGCACCCGTGATCCCTTTCTGGGGCGGTGACCCTGGCCTTAATCTGGAGTGGCTCCTGGGACCTGGTGTGAGCCAACTGAGAGCAGTGACTATACTCCTATGGAATATGAAGTATATGCCCTGTTTAGGGAAGCTTTATTTAATGTTTAATAGGTTATTGTATTTTAGTGTTTTATTGGAAGGCCGCCCAGAGTGGCTGGGGAAACCCAGCCAGATGGGCGGGGTATAAATAATAAATTATTATTGTTATTATTACAATGTCGTGTAAATGGCCAATTACCAAGAAAATTCAACATGAACATATTAAGCTCTGAAATAGGAAGCTTTCCCCAAAATGAGGAGATTGGGGGAAAGGAAAGGCAAAGTCAAAAGGGTCAAATCATTCTAAAAATCACTGGGAATAGCTGCTGGTGCGCAGCTGCACAGGAGCCACCAGTGTTTAAATTGGCCCTAAGATTTGGACCACAAAAGGGAGTCTTCCTGTGACAGAAGGAGAACACAACCAGAAGGCCCAAAGTCTTACCAGTTATGGTATGCAATTTGTAAGAGTTGCTTCTAATCGATATGAGAATACTGTCTGTATGAAAGCCTAATTTTATTGTCCCATAAGAGTGAACACAGGATGCTCCAGATCTTCTGAGGAGTCATACTAAGTTGCATGACAAACACTCACAGAAATCACGTAATAGGTCATTTAGCCTGATGCCTGACCCAGGCTACCTTCATTTCACAGAAATTTGAATTATTTCACTTCTAACTCCTTTCCTACTTGTGCCAAACAAGCACACCTGCTTCCCTATCTTGCATTCAACCACAGGCCCCAAACCAGGCCTCCTCCTGTTCGTATTCCGCCTTAGAAAGATGCTTACCTTTCTCAAACGCGCCGCCCCAGTTCCCGAGCGGATTGCTTCCATTAGTGCCTGCCTTGCATCCCCTGGGCTGTCCGTTCTTGGACTTGCAATGTACCTAGGAGTTTTCATTGTCACTTGAGGTGGTGGTGGTGGAGGAGGAGGAGGCAGCGGCGATGGCAGCAGCTGATTCCCCCGTTGCTCTGTTGTAGAGGCCTCTCTGTTTTGCAAGGCTGCTTCTGCTTTTTGGAAACTCTGAAGCTCTTCAGAAGCAGATGAAGAGATCTACCATGGAGAAAAATGAAGTTGGGGGGAGGTTATAGTAGTAGGTTTAAAGGAACAATGATACTGGGTGCATATTGTTAACACACCTCCCCAGTCTGCAAGCGGTGTGAGATTCCAGGTGTTCCAGGCACTTACCCAGGGTCCACGTTTCCTTTTGGGAATGAGGCACAGCGGAGACGGGGGTGTCTTTAGGATATATGGTTTATTTACAGATATATACAACCTGAGCCTACGATGGAGGGGTTCGGAGCATCAACACCCCAAGAGGTTCTTGCTTAAGGTTACCAGATGTCCCCGTTTCCCAGGGACAGTCCCCGGATTTATAAATCAGCTCCCATACAAAATCTATTGAAGTTGAAAAAAATTCATTGGAAAAAATCTGGTGACCTTATTTTTGCTTCTCCCACAGCCACAGCCTGGGATTCAATCAGAAATCAGCCATGGCTTTCTCTCTGCCTTTTCAGCCTGTGGCTTTTCATCTCACAGCAAACCCTGCACTCAAACTCCAGCTTTGTCTAAGAGCTGGAAGAAGGATCCTACCCATCTGTCATCTGTCACAGACGCCTGTCTCTTTTGCTCTCTGAATGGCCCATCACCTTTCCTTTGTCTTCTTAATGCCCAACACCTGAACACAGGAAGCTAGCCTGGCTTATGTTTTAACACTTGCTGTATCCATGGGTTAGAAGGTCTGGCATGCGCAAACTCATAACAATATTTTAATCTCTTCCCTTCTGGACAATTTTGCCTTGTTCCATAGATGTAAACCTTGTGACAGCTCTAATTTCCCTAGTAAATCACAGAATTGTAGAGATGGAAGGGACTTCCAAGCGTCATCTAGTCTAACTCCCTGTTCATCTATTCCCCTCTCACATCATTTAGAGGAACTGATGATTAAGATTTGGCCTTGAAGCAGGCTCAGAAATTCAATCCTGATTTATTTGTTTGAACTGTGGGATCCTGGAATTTATTTTGGCACTTAAGGCAAAAATGTTGCCAGTTGGCCACTAAGTTAGGTTGGAAATGACAACAAGGAGTTTGGAATTAACATGATTTATTAGCCTTCCCCGGAAGCATTATCAGAAAACTAGGAACGGTGATAATTACTCTGTGCCTTCAAACTTTGCTTCATTTTTTTTAATCTCAAAAAAGTATCATTTGAATCCTATTTTAAAAGGGGAAAAGGTCTACTCAAATCAATGAGGGATTCTTCCAGAATAATTAGCTTTTTAAAGTGCATACACCTGCATTTCACTCTCAAACTGCAGTCAACCAAATTAAAAATTAAATATTCACACAATGGTTGACAGAAGCATAAGTATTGAGTTATTCCTCAGTTTATAATTGCTAGATGCCATATCCGGGCAACTCTATTTCCTACACTGCAAAGGCAGAGTGCAGGAACTGCTGAAGTCTCAGACCACTCTCAGGTGCCAACCGTAGATGACTTCCTCTCAGCAGCTGTAGGACAACCATCTCATACGAACAGAACAAAGGAACGTAAGTGATTACTTTTTACCAGGTTTGCACATCTAGCCTCGTGTTGCACACTCTGACCGAGAGCAGCTATCCAGTCTCAGCTAGAGGTCGTTCATGTATTTTACCACAGAGCTAATGTCCCATCCCTCAAAAACATTTAGATTGATTTTTAAGTAAATAAATATTTATTATCAGCCGCTAGAGGTACAACTCTGTCAGTGAATCAGAAGTGATACGTTCTGCTAGGAATGTACATGGCTCCCAGTACGTTTCCGAGCACAATTCAAAGTGTTGGTGCTGACCTTTAAAGCCCTAAACGGCCTCAGTCCAGTATACCTGAAGGAGCGTCTCCACCCCCATCGTTCTGCCCAGACGCTGAGGTCCAGCGCCGAGGGCCTTCTGGCAGTTCCCTCACTGCGAGAAACAAAGCTACAGGGAACCAGGCAGAGGGCCTTCTTGATGGTGGCACCCGCCCTGTGGAACGCCCTCCCACCAGATTTCAAAGAGATAAACAACTCCCTGACATTTAGAAGACATCTGAAGGCAGCCCTGTTTAGGGAAGCTTTTAATGTTTCATAGACTATTGTATTTTAATGTTCTGTTGGAAGCTGCCCAGAGTGGCTGGGGAAACCCAGCCAGATGGGCGGGATATAAATAATAAATGATGATGATGATGACATGTCTACTCTGGCTTATTTTTTTACTTACAGTTTGCTAATTCAAGCAGAGCTTCATCTATAGCATTTCCAGGACAGGGATAACATAGTGCAAAGGATGAACAAGCTACTGAAAAGATGCAAGGTCTCATTCTTACCTTTCTCAACTTTGAGGCTCCACTGTGACCTCTAATGGCTGCCAGAAGGGCAGAGCGCTCGTTCTCTTGTTCTGTGATTAGTGGCTTCTTCTGAGGTCCATTCGCCATGTTGGGTGAAATCTAGGATGTGACAAAGCAGATATAAACAATTTATTTCTACCTAGTTTGGAAACAAGGTAATTTGAGCATCTGGAATGTCACTCAGTTGGAAGTTGGCTTACCTGACTTTGGCCTTTATCCAGCCTGAGCACATTGAGAATTAAATGGGATTTGTAGGAGTAGGCCTTATTTATCAGAGATGGAAAAATCAGCCTTGCCATCTGTATTATGTTCAACTAGACCTTATTACTTTTAATGAGTACAGTATTAGTCTCATACTATATACCATTCATAATTAGCTTCAATAGACACTTCTGCACTTTCTGCTGCTTGAAAGAAGCAAAACATTAAGTTGCACAAAAAACAGACAGTGCAGAAGTGATAGTAGCCTGGTGAGGTATCTTGCCACCATATATTTTTAAAAAATTAGAAACAACAACTGTTATAAAACAGGCTGGTGCCTGCTAAGGTTGAAAGGCCGGGCTCCCTATTTAATAATAATAATAATAATAATAATAATAATAATAATAATAATAATAATAATAATAATTTATTTCTACCCCGCCCATCCGGCTGGGTTTTCTCAGCCCCTCTTCTTTTAAGAAGTCTAAGAGCTGTTCCTGATGTTACAAGAAACTTCATGCATCCAGTAAGAGGCATTTCCTATAACATCCAGATATGCTTTCAGCTAAGTTTTTTTGTATTTGTTTCTTACCTTTCGGAGATTTTCTCTTCCTCCTGCATTCTGGATGGCTTCCATTAAAGCACTGTGCAGAGACGTATCTTTTGGAAGTGGCTTCTGGATGACTGGCTTAAACTTCTTCTTTGGCCCAAAAACTTTATCATCGCCTCCCACATCAGACTCTACCCTTTTGCTTTCACATGCACTGCCAAGTTTTTCATCTTTTTCTGAAACTACGTGATTAACAAGAGTTGTTCCATCTAACTCTGATGGTCTACTGTTGATAGGCTGCCCCTCGGCTGACTTCCCAGAAGAGCTGGAAGTGGTGGAAGATGAGAAATTGTTGGATGAACGAAGGAAGAAGGGAAGGTTAGCCTCATCTGTTTGCTCCCTCCTTTGATTAAATATAGAAGACGTCTCTCTAACAACTACATTTTCTATTGAACCCCATCTGGGCTTCTCTCCTGTGAGACCACCACCTTTAGAAGGTATTGTGGTAAATGGCTCCCTGTAGCAATGAGTGCTATTTCTTATCTTGGAATGAGCACCAAGTGGTAGAGTGTTGGATGCATTTTGGCTGCAACTGAAGATATCTACGTAAGATTTTTTTGTTTCTGCTGGCTGCATTTCTCCTGGGCAGGTTTTGGCCAAAATAATGCATCTTTTGGGAAGTGGTTCTGTTTCAGTTTTCCCCACTTCTCCATCCCTCATCTCTTCTACTTTGTCATGCCTTTCTTGACTGGTTTTAAACTGGAGCGGATCGATGCATTTTGCAATGGCAGAGGCTACATAATGGCTTGATGTTCTTCTCAGGGGCTTCTGAAATGGGAGCTCCATCTTATCTGTCTTGACCACTGGAGTCGTTAGCATTTTAACTGAAGACGGTGTGGCATAAATGAGGGGCTTCCCCCCGCAAGGCCCAACATGATTGTCAACTGTCCTGGAAGCAGCTAGTGGTGCTGTTGCTGCCTTCAGACTTGCAAGGGAGCCAGGCTTTGTTTCACCTATTTTACTGAGGGGTTTGATGACTGCTGGCTTGGTGGGAAAGCCTACTGGAGACTCCCCCAATGGTGTTTTCAGAGAATTAGATCTCCAGTATGCTTTGGCTCTCCCAATGAGAGTTTCCTCTGGTTCACTTGAAGTCGTATTTACTGTGACCTTTTTTATACTACCAGCATTTAGAGCCACCATGTTGCCCAATTCATCTATTTTAATGGCACCAGTAGAAAGGGAGGCATCTCTGTCAAAATATTTCACTTCAGGTTTGGGAGGTACAACTTTAAAGGTGGTCAGACCTATTTTAGGTTCATAGTTTGTGGTTCCATTGCGAACACGGTAACACCATAAAGATGGCGTAGAGATACTTTGCTGCTCATCTGGGTCTTTTGTTGATGCATATCTGAACTCCAATTCAGATTTTATTTTGCTTGGAAGTCCTTCCTTGGTATTATCCTCTTTCGATTGTTTTACTTTCTCCTTTGTTCTATTTCTTTCACTCATAACAGTAAAGTTGGAAGAAATCACTTTGGATCTTTCAGACTCAGAACCATTTTTTGTGAGGATTTCCAGGGACACATCCTTCATGTCCGTTTTTTCACAGGAAGGTGTGTGTGTCTCCGATATATATATCTGCTCTTTCTCAGTTTGGCGTCCAAACTCTTCTTTAGGTGACTGTTGTTGTGATAAGCTCTTGGATAAACTGGAGGATATACCATCTACAGATCCCTTGCTCAAAGAACCAGCATTATTATTTTCATTAGTAAGCTTCCCTAGGATAATGGCATCAGCTGAAATATGTTCATTAGCCCCTGACTCAGAAAACAAAGGTTCTCCTTCCTCTCTAGTGGGGTGGATTATAATGTCAGTTTCGGGAATTTCATCTATTATCGTCACTGGCACAGGAACTGGAACATCTTGGGCAGTCTCAGCATCCCGTGAAAAAGGGAGGGGTGAGCCATTCGTCTCACTAGATACAGATCCGCTTTCAGAATCATCCTGCATACTCTCCATCGCTGCAAATAATACCAGCAACATCTTTCAAAACTATGAACCATGACATTATCCCAAAATATTATCACAATCAGGGGATAATAAACCAAGGGGTTTTAACAGCAGCAACCCTTATATTACAAACTCCAGCTGCAATAGCTGCTTCAGATGCAGTGTAGAGGGTTGCGGTTAGAAAATAAATATAATAAAACAATAAAATCTCCACTGGGTGTGTTGAGTTGGTTGTATTATATGAACACATCCATAATCTTGTAAGCACTTTTTAATTTATACACATTCATGCTAAACATTTGCCAATATGTCTTTTGCTTACTGTGCAGTGTATCCCAGCAAATGGAGCTACACTGATATCTGGTTAATCATGAAAATGTACTATGAGAATGTGCCAGCTTCACAGTTTACATTACTGGGTAGTGAGTATAAAACAGAGAACATAGTCCTCATGAAAGCAAATTGTGTGTATTATGCATTTGCACATTATGTTTTCCCAGATATCAACACAAAGAAAATTATTGGTAATAATTTATAAACTGGAAAATACAGCATTCCTCAAGCAGGCTGTGAGACACATTTGTGAGAATCTATTAGAGAAAATTCCACTTGTCTGAAACATATAAAATACTGAATATCTATCCTAGTAACTGAATAGGAATGATACTGTAGTCCTCTCCCCCCAGCTCTGTATAAGATATATTTTTTACAATCACCAGATAAAACAATAAGGAAAAGTATGCTCTCTCCATCAATGCTGTAGATAACTAGACTTGTTTTTAAAACAGCAACAATCTGCTGAACAGAATTTCTTCAGCACATAGTTTCATGAAAAGTATGATAACAGAAAATTTGCATATCCAGTACTACTGGATTTATTAATTATTATTATTTTACTATCAAGGGCTACTCAACATCCTTTCAATGTAATGACCAAAGTAAATAACAATATTAAGAAATTCATGGGCTTGTTTCAGTTTTTCACTATACCCTCATAATATTTAGTAACAGTTTGTTGTCTACTGTGAATAACCTCCCACAACAGTGTCCCAAAAAGGTAAGACAATTTGGCAATGGAAGCTGAACAATCTGATGAGGTATATGCTGCTACTAGATAGAGCCTGAGTTATGAGATCTGTCCCACCTCTATGGAGTTTCCCAGTTTGACTGCTCTCTCATCTGCCTAACTGATGGATTGTCACCATTTGCCTTTTTCCTGCATTCTTTTTGCAATACAGATGTGCAAATTTAAACTTCAACCTACCCATTAGGTCTTTGTCCAATGCAGCCAAGGTCTGAGTAGCTATGAACACATCTGCGTTTTCAAACTTAGCTTCCATCATTTCGTCCTCATCCCTGCTACTGACAACAAAATAAAAGAAAAGGAATGAAAAGGTTGTTCCTTTTTTTCTATTGATACTGCATAACCAAATTTAATCAATTTAACATCAACTTGTGTGTGTGTATAAACCCTGACTGTTTCTTTTAACAGCGGGGAAAACCAGATTGCATTTGTTTAGATAATGTTTGCACACCTATCTTGCTCTCAATGAAAATTTACCTGCAGCTTCTGTAATGAAATTCTTTGTACTGGAGAGAAAAATAATAGCATAATGTTTGAATTGTTTTCCAGAATACAAAGTAGCTACTTGATTAATCACTTTCCAGACATCTCAATAAAATTTAGAAAATAGTAAGACATGGCAAACTGTTTCAATTTCTTCTGAAACGCAAGGACTTAACCTGTAAGGTATGTGAATCTGGCTGTAATCCTGGGAGTAAACCCCACTAAATGCAACAGTATTTACTTCTGAGTAGGCATGGTCAGGATTGTGCTGTCAATCTCCTATCAAAGACCTGAAAGTGTCTCATTACAATGTGCAAGAGAGAATGCTTTCCTGTATTTTGAAGTGCTTAAATTCTGTAAATATTTTGTTCTGCCTGACCAAGTTGACTTCTCACTGGCTCAAACCCAGATTGACATAATCCACCCCCAAGTCAAACTGTGCACATACTAGGTAGGAGTCACATCATGCTCCTTCTGAGGTAGTTTGTCCAGCTTTGGCCTCACCCTGCACTCTGCTGTCAGCATGCAACAACGGCTAAACACTCTGGGAAACGGCTCTGACTGGTCGGCCAAACCACACAGATGTTGCTGGACTATAACTCTCCATCTTGCATGACGTGTGACAGGGGATGATGGGAACTGTTGTCACACAACACCTGTAGTGCACCACACTGGCTACCTCTGGTTTAACCTGGGTCTTACACAGACAAACACAATTCTGAAGATGAAACTGTTCCAGCCATTTTGTGTTTTGGGTTATAAAATGGGTTATAAAAAGGAGGGTCAAAAGCTCAGCCCGTGAAACTGACAGTCAGGGAGAAAATGAAGCCTAAAGGGGAGGAAAAGAGAAACCAAATAAATTAAGGGGAAGAGAAACAAAAACACAACTCGACTGTCTTCTTGTTGCCCAAGATGTTGGCAGCAGGGTAGAAATAAGGTGCATGAGACTCTAAGCTGAGCAGTTAATGTACATAACAACCAGCTATTGTGCACATTCACCAGGCCTCAATGAAGAGGGAATTGTGCACATATCCTAGTCAATATACACAATTTCAACGGGAAATGTACATATCTCAGCTGAATTTTGTACTGTGGGAAGGGAGGTAGCAGCCTTTAATGTGAGTAACTCCAAACTTGGAGTGACACACAATTCCTTTTCTTGCAGTACTGTGCAAATCTGGAATAGTGGAAAAATACAGTGGTGCCTCGCAAGACGAAATTAATCCGTTCCGCGAGTATCTTCGTCTTGCGGTTTTTTCGTCTTGCGAAGCACAGCTATTAGCGGCTTAGCGGCTATTAGCGGCTATTAGCGGCTTTAAGAAAAAGGAAACAAACTCGCAAGAACTCGCAAGACGTTTCGTCTTGCGAAGCAAGCCCACAGGGAAATTCGTCTTGCAGAACGACTCAAAAAACGGAAAACCCTTTCGTCTAGCGAGTTTTTCGTCTTGCGAGGCATTCGTCTTGCGGGGCACCACTGTACATTTCAATTTTTAAAAAATTGAAAAGGTGTGTGTCAGGACGGGTAAATGAATACCTGCAGTTTTGGGCAAATCTAGAGCACTGGGAAAACTTGCACTTATAAAATAAAAAGGTGCCTGTGCGCAAATAACAAATGCTTGCATTAATGCTCACAACAGACCTCAGGTTTCTGGAACTTGCAGTGGGTGGGAAAATACTATTTGAAGGGGACGAGAACAAACTGTGTGACTACATCAGGCATTTTGAAGGCATAAAATTTAAAGTGCTCATGGATGGATGGATGAAGGCAGACAAACGGGCACACCGAAATAGTGACGTACATACACATGACCCAGCCTAAATTAAACACAACTCCAACAAGCCATGTGACACCAAAATACTACGTTTTGTGCAAGCATATTCAGCAATACACAGCACACTTAAAAACAAACCCATAACTTTCCTCCAGAGCCTTTTCCTTCTCCTCTAGACCTTTTTGTTGCTGACAGGCCTGCTCTGGCTTACATTCAAGTAAAACACAAGGCCTTTTCCTGATAGTGTTTCATGGGTCAGATAACTATTACCAGTGGCTTTTTTCACACACTCTTTTTAATATAGGAAACAACACGATAATCTTAAGACCTCTCCCTCTAAAATAGAATGTGCTGAAATCACACCACTTGGGAATTTATTGAAGTAACAGATGGATTAGCAGAAGTTCTGACAACAGGAATAGCAAAGACCCCAAAGCACTAAATTATTGACTTTTGCATTTGTTGAACCAAGGCCACTATGTACTGTTGCTCCGCTGTAGTCAGCCATATGCAAAAGCATGGGTTAAAATAGGACTTTGCCAAATCAACACCGTAGGAGCAAGGTCTTTTATGAGAAAACTTGTGTGCAAAAGGCAACAGTAAAACTACAAAAAGCTACTGTTAAGCCAAATGAAAGTCCTATTGGCAATTTATGGGTAGATGCTATTATACGTAGCAGGTGGTACAAAAAGAATGAATCTGAAATACTTGAAATAAGGTCATTAATAGAACGTGAAAGAAAACACTGATGAAAGCTTATGCAAATCAGTTGTTAAAAACATGATCTGTGGCTAGGATCTGCATCGGCGCACCTCATTAGTGATCTGCCTTGCTACCTCAACAAGTTCCCATCAACCTAAGTCACATTTTCACTTATGCAATATTGGTTTCCTTTACAAGATCATAGGGATCATTCAAGTTCAGCAGAACAATAAAAGGCCATATAAATACTAACATTATCAGATGCCATTTGCCACCAAAACTGTTATGCTCCACAGAAGATATAACAGAACTTGAGTGCTGTGGTTGAAGCAATGCAGAATACATGTGTCAGATAACCCATCTCTATATGTTTGGTAAATAATTATGTCACACAGTGAACCTTTGTTCCAGAAGAGCCACAACTCGAACGAGGCAAATGGACATGGCTGCGACTGCACCTGCTCTAATCCTTCTCCCAGTGCTGCCACCGCTGCTTCCACCCCTTTGGAAGGAGGAGAGTCAGCACCAGAGAGTTCCCCCGATCCACTGAAAAGAGAATTTCAGCTTCAGGAGCAGAAAGTTGAGGGTTATTTTCAACAGCAAGCCAAATGAGAGGAGGGCTTTGAGTTGACTGTGTTCCAAAAGCAAATAAATGGGCCTTGAGGAGCAACTCTTGACTTTTTTTTTTTTTGCAGGAGGACAAGGAGGTTAACAAGATGGAAAATTAGTTTGCAAAAGACTAGCATAAGCAGACGTCACTCCCTCTAAATTGCCTCACAGATGAGACCTACCTTTGGGAAACGATTCCAGACTCATCACTACTGGAGAATGCATTCCTTACAGAGCACGTCTGTTCAACATACATGGACTCCATCTCGGTCAAGGTCTCCTGGGCCCCGATGGACTTGTCTCTTGACCTCACGCTGTCATTCTGAGACTCCAATGAGACAACATCAGAGGGGGAACTCATAACACCTGAATCTTCTGTGGTGTCCTCTGAGGTGAAGCAGCTGCTAACAGAGATCGTGTCCTCTGTTTCTGACAGTTCCAGAGCTACATCTTCCATGCTAGAAATATCACGCGAAAGGTGTAAATTGCCTAGACGAAACACGGCAAAAACAGTTAAATACCATTTGTCACTTTTTTGAAATAAATAACACATTTAAAAAGCCCCTCCTCCTCTGTTTATCAGAATGCACCACAATGTGGCTTTTTTCTTTTCTTTTCGTGTGGCAGGGAATAGAATAGTAAATTCTCTATGGTGAAATGTCAGATTTCCATGTACTTAAAAGAATGCTCTGCACCTGTCTCTTACATGAAAAATTCAGTGAATCTGAATAAAAATAGCAGAATTCTGTTGGACTGACCAGGAATAAATGAAATACTTCAGAAATAGTATATACAGTGAAACAATAGTGGTTATGCATTAAATAAAGATAACTGTTATATCTTAATAAAAAATGCCCAGTGAGGGCAAAAAAAGAGGATAAACTGGGGTGCAGCTGCTCTATATGTCAAAAAGAACACAAGAGACCCAAATTTAGGAAATTAATATGAACAATATTTTTGATAGAATCACTGTGGGTAGAAGCACCAGACACCTTCAAAATAATATTGTACTGGAATATTCCAGTGCAACCCTTGACCAAATATGGAGGGTGGTTTCAAGATAGAGAAAGAACTGAAGGACACAGCCAAAGGTCGGAAATATTGTAATAATGAGTGATCAACAAACCCTCATACTGACTGGGTAAATGTATAGTCAGGATATGACAATGAGTTTTTATTTCTAGATTTGACAAATGCACATTTGGCTGACAAAAAGGGGAGTCAACCTTTGACTTAATCCTGAGTGGTGCTCAGAACTTAAGATAAGATATAAACTGTCAGACTACTTGGGAACGTGATGTTCTTAGCTTGAAAAATAGATATGAGTGAAAAGCTGTCCAGAAGTCAATATGGTCACATTTAAATTGAAAAAAAAGAATGAAAAAGCAAATGAAAAAGAATGAGGAAACTATTAGAACCAACATTTTTTATTCAAATAGCAGGAAACCAGATAAAGGAAGTCAGACTGTGTAAAATGATTATGTGGTGATTTACAGTAATTCTTTGAATCAGCCTTCACTGCTGAAGATGTTTGTTAGATATTCATGCCTCAACTAGTAATTTTGCAACGAGCATCTGACAAACTTCATCAAACAAGAGATGATGTTCTAGAGCTAAATTGGTGAAACACAAATGAACATGTCACTGGGTCTTTATGGCAAACATCTCAAGAGTTCTTAAAGAGATCAACTCTCTGAATTGAGCTTGAATTCTGATAAGGATGGGTGGTTCCCATGTCCAGGAGATTAGTCAACTGCATGTACTGGACAGGATGGCACTCCCTCTGAAGGAGGATGCTTGCAGCCTGGGGAGACTCCTTGACCCATCCCTGTCACTAGATGCCTAAGGGACCTCTGTGGCCAGGAGTGCATTTTCCTAGCTCTGGATGGTGCGCCAGCTCCTTTCACTAATCCATACAGTATTTATTGATGTTTCAATATGGTTTTTATGGATATATTGGTTTATTTTGCTTAATAGGTTCTTTTCTGCCTTGTTATTTCCTTTATGAAAGGGTGGTTTAATAAATTTGTAAATAAAGTTTAAAAAACCCCAAATGTTTAACCATTTGAGTGATCCTCCCATTGAAATCCGCACCAATTGAAAGTATTCAGTTTTGAACATACTTTGTCAATAAGCAACAATCTGAACCACACTTACCTAGAAGTAAATGGGACACAGAACACAGAGGGACTTACTTTTGAATAAATATGCACAGGATGGTTCAAGGATGCTTTACAGGGCAATCCTAAATCTACTCAGAAGGAATTGCCATTGAATTCAAAGGGACTTATTCCCAGTTAATTGGGGATAGGATTGCAGTCTTAATTTCTTTTATTTTAAGACAGATTTGGACATACAGGATCAGATGCAAAACTTTTTAGCTTTCGTTTAAAACAATATAAAACTGAAAAACTTTGCAAAGAACATCACAACCACCAGTTCTGAAAGCATAAATCTATTGAAGTGTACATTTCAGCATTTTGTACATTTACTGAAATGAATCAAGTTTTTAACGGAACAATAGGTTTTCAGCAGTGAAGGCACTGTTGTATTTACCGGTAAGCTACGTGTGCCTGTTAATTTAGATAAAGATCATTACAAGCTTCTACAGAACCTCAGCAAGATTGTTGCAAAGAAACAAGTAGATTATAAAGGAAAATGGGTTGGGTGTTTTTTAAGAAAACATTTATTTTGGAGGGAGGTGATAGGGAGTAATGACTATTGAAATAAAAAATCTCACAGTGAACATGTTTTTCAAATTGAGTTGGAATACTCAAAATGATTCATGTGTTTAGGGCATGCATTTGTTACATATCCAAAGTTTAAACTTTGAGTAATGTGTTTGGAGATACCTGCATCTTTGTCAGTGAAATATTAAATAAAATTAAAGGACAGGTCTCCTTGATTGAGACCATGCAGTACCCATTATGCACAAAACTCAATTTCTGGCAGCACAATCAGTAAAACTTAAAAGGTTACAAATCACAATGAAAGCTCTGCAAATTCCAAAATTAATGACTGTGGGTGCTGCTAAAGGTTCCTGGCACTGCCTAGAATTTGGGAGGCAATGAAAAATCACCCAATTTCCAGCACTACTATTGTGTGCCCACACCAAATTAAAATCAAATTACATATGATTTGTTTATTTATTTATGACATGTGAGTGCCGACCCATAACATAAAGTTATCTGGGTGATTTACAATAAATAAGTGAAACACTATTTAAACAAAAAGTAAAATATAGTATTATCAAATCAAATGCAACACATACAAATAATAACGAAAGAGATTCAGAACAGCACCTATACAAACACAGATAAAAGGCAGAAACTGCATAACCACCCGTATTACAAGTAGAAAACATGATCAGAAAAAAACCCACGCTAAAATTATAAACAAAACTTTCTAGGCATTTAAAAAAATAAAATGCACGAAGGCCAGCAGAGATAAAATAGCGGAGCAGGAAAGTACACAAAGTAGACAGTCGTTTTTTAATAAATGCACAATGCATTACATGCTGATGTTCATTGGTGTGTATATAAAACCTAATGGCTCTCTCTGTTTCCATTAAAATGTCAGAGCAAAGGATGATTTGCAGCGCTATTATCTATGCAGCCTCTTGAAGTAGCAACCTAAAAAGGGGGTGGGACAGCTCTGGGACAGCTTCCCAGAATGGCAGTGTTGCTCTTTATAATCTAACAACTTTATAAAAAATAAGACAGCTGCATTTATGAACTTACATTTATTATCTTCGCTTTCAGATATACTTAGTAACTGTATTGACTTCCCTCTTGTTGAAATCACGGCGGAAGCTGTATCAAGAAATGGTAGCGTTGGAAGTGTGCATAACTTAAAGGTCAGTAAGGATGAATTTACATTGCAATGAAAAACCTTTTACCCCAATTCCTTATTGCAGCCGCTTCCCCTCATACAGTGGTGGGCAAACAGTTTGGCAAGCGTTCCACAAATTCAAGTGTGAGATAGTGCCATTCTAGTGCGTGACATCTTATGCATTAACCACAGTTAATGCGTCTGAAGGAGCGTCTCCATCATTCAGTCCGGACACGGAGGTCCCGATCCAAGGGCCTTCTGGCGGCTCCCTCACTGCAAGAAGTGAGATTACAGGGAACCAGGCAGAGGGCCTTCTTGGTAGTGGCGCCCGCCCTGTGGAATACCCTCCCATCAGATGTCAAGGAAATAAACAATCTGACTTTTAGAAGACATCTGAAGGCAGCCCTGTATAGGGAAGTCCTTAATGTCTGATCTTTTATTGTGTTTTTAATGCTCTGTTGGGAGCCGCCCAGAGTGGCTGGGGAAACCCAAACAGATGGGCGGGGTATAAATAATAAATAATAAATTGTTGCTGCTGCTGCTGCTGCTGCTGAGAGCAACAACAACAAAAATCCAACAAATTAGCAATTGTGTCACTGACTGGAAATTAAGATAGAAACCTTAGCTAATGGGGTGTGTGCCCAGTTCCAGCTGAAGTGAGGGGACCATTCCTTCTCATCTGCCTAGGGAGCCTGAGTAGGGATGATTTAATCTAGTCTATTTACTTCTGGCCAGGAGGGCTTAAGTGCCCTCAGGCCAGGCAGCTCATGTAAAGGCTATTGTAGGAAGAATCCTAGAAGACCTGCTCCCTGCCTTGCAGGCCTTTTTCCACCTGGCCTGGGAGGGCGGGGCCTGGACTGACTCCAGCTACAAAAATTGAGGCTGAAGATACTCGTTTAGTGGGGTTTGTTGCTGGTTTTTTTGTTTTTTGTTATCTCTATTTTTAGATGTTATGATTTATGTGGAATGTGTGCAATTTGGTTGTGTGCTTTTTATGTGCTTTATTGTTTTTGACTACTTTTGTTATATTTGTAATTAAAGTTAATCTTTCCATGTTGTAAACTGCCATAAGCATGGTTTTTTAATCGTAGAAAGGCAGCGTGCAAATAGGATGGTGGTTTTATATGGGGACTGCTGTGGCAGCATTCCAGCCAAACCATGGTGGAAGCCCCCCCATGCTACGCCAATGCACCCATCCTCCCTACAAGCAGGTCAGCGGGCACTATGTCTGGAAGACCTTGCAGTGGGTATAAATGGTTGCCATATTCAGGGCTGGGAAGGAATTTGCTTGCAAACAAATTGGGCCTGTTTGGGGTTTTTGCCTTCATCGTAGCAATTGACACAACTTCTGATGTATAAGGCAATGGGTTGTATCTTCAATCTATTCCTGGGAAGGGGGCGAGAGTTGGTGCCTCACCTCTGCTCACACTTGAGCTGATGCAATATGTCACCATACCCCACTAAAGGAGTCTGGGTGGAAGATACTGTCCTGAAGCCGAAAAGAGGAGCAGATGGGCCTAGACTTTTCAATGGAGGCCTGGTGGAGGGGCAGCTTAGCTGACCTGCATCTTGAAGTGACCCTTAACCCAGGCATGACTCTGTTCAAACATCAGCCTTCAGTCAGGAGGCTGATTTAGGATACAAACCCACTGTCTAAG